CCAAAAATTATTCTCCATTTCATGTTAAATTGTTACATGGACCAATTTTAGATGTGAAATAATAGACATCAGGGTTAAACTAGTTACAGAGATCTATTAGTAAATGCAAAGATGTGAAGAAATTCCTTGTACTGTGAGAATGAATGTGAATAACTAACTCATAAACATCTGTTGACATGTACAATAAGTGTATAAGAAACTGCTCCTAGATGTGAACGAATGATAGGTGTTTATATACGTGTGCAACAGTTCGTAGATGTGAACAAGTGATACATCTGTTGACATACGTGAGTTGGTTATGTTAAGCAGTTCGTAGATGGAACAAGTGATACATCTGTTGACATACGTGAGTTGGTTATGTTAAGCAGTTCGTAGATGGGAACAAGTGATACATCTGTTGACATACGTGAGTTGGTTATGTTAAGCAGTTCGTAGATGGGAACAAGTGATACATCTGTTGACATACGTGAGTTGGTTATGTTAAGCAGTTCGTAGATGGGAACAAATGACGTAATATTTTGTTTATATGTACAAGTGACGTTATTATATGCCTACGTGTACAAATAGCGTATGGGAAACAACTCATTGGTGAACGAGTGAAAAAATAAGATCTACTCACAAGCGGAGAAGAAAATATGATTTATTTCACAGATTGAACGGAGTGATATATCGTTGTTGACATACAGTATGTTGGAAGGGAATGTGAATGGGTAGCAGAAGTGTTTGTTAACATGTTACATAAGCGTTTAATGGGGCAACCTCTGACAGATGTGAAAGAATGACAAATACATCTTTTGTTTACATTGTGTGGGTGGGGTAATACGAATCACTTTACGGATATAAACGAATAACGCGATGATTCGTTTAACTAATGACTTGACGATTCATTTACATACGCTAAAAATTGATTCGAAATAATAAAAGGTTCCAAGATTCGAATCGATTAAAAAATACTATACAAAACATGAAAATTGTGAGAAGTTAACCACAGATATTGAAATAATTTACAGCCTATATGAAGCTTCGAAAATAAGATTCGCATGAGTCGAATCATCTTGACAATTGCTTTAGTAGTTTAAGAAAAAAAAATCCGCTTCTATAAATTTGTTGTTAAATATCGCTTACTTGTTAAAATATAAACCAGGATGTTAGTTAAGGAAATATAAATATATGAATAATATTTTGGGATGATATACGGTATTTATTATAGTAAAATATGTTCAGATCTCCAAACACTCTCTCTCTCTCTCTCTCTCTCTCTCTCTCATACACCAGGGTTTCAAAAGCTAAAAAAAATGGCCGAGTGGAAATTTTTGTACAGAAGGATTTAACCCCTTGACTATGATTATTCAACCCTTTGAATACTATGATTTAACCCCTTGAGTACATTGATTTTAACACCTTGAGTACAGTGATTTTAACCCCTTGAGTATGGTGAATTAAAAGTGACATTGTACTCAAGGAATTAATTAATTATACTCAAAGGGTTACGTAATGGTACTCAAAGGATGAAGTCGTAATATTCAAGGAGTTTAGTCATCGTACTCAAGGAGTTAAGGGGCTAAGTAATCATGTTCAATGGGTTAAATTATCGTACTCAAGAGGTTAAATCACTGTACTCAAGGGGTTAAATTATCGTACTCAAGGGGTTAAAATCATTGTACTCAAGGTGTTAAATTATCGTACTCAAGAGGTTAAATCATTGTACTCAAGGGGTTAAATCACTGTACTCAAGAGGTTAAATCACTGTACTCAAGGGGTTAAATTATCGTACTCAAGGGGTTAAATCACTGTACTCAAGAAAACCTCATGAATTTAGAGAAGAAAAAAAAATACTCGTAAATCGGTTTTCAAATAATTTACTTAATTTTTGCCATAATAACTGAACAAACGACTAAAATTACAACATAAAAATGAAAATCGGCCAAAATCTGATCTAAATCCTGACTATACTAACCCGCCGATTTCATCTTTGTAACCCGGAAGTGCAATGATTTTCCACTGTTCTTCTTATTTTTCTCTTATTGTTTCCTTAATCTGTAATCTGTTTCTGTTCAGATTTAAGGTATAAATCCTGTTAAAACGAGGATTTAGGAAAAAAGTGGAAACGGTAAGGGATGTTATAGAGTACCTGAAGGATTTACGATTTGAGGCGGATTTTTGGAAGGATGGGACAGATTTTTGAAAGGATAGAACAGATTTTGGAGGGATGAGACAAATTCTGGGTTAGTAAATCAGATTTTTGGAAGAATTTAACTGTTTTGTGGTGAATAATTCAGATTTAGGGACGTATGAGACAGCTTTTTAGAGGGTGGGACAGATTTCTTAAGGAGACATGCGTGGGTAACTCAGATTTTGGAAGAAAGAGACCAGTTCTAGGTGCGTAATTCAGGTGGAACAGATTCTTGGAGGTATGAGGTATTTGGAGGGGTGGGTAAAATATTTGAAAGAGTAGGAGACTTATTTGATGAATGAGTCAGATTTTGAAGGTCTTAATCAGATTTTAGAGATAAGTCGGATTTTTGGAGGGACGAATGAAATCTCTTTAAGGACGAAACAGATTTTTTTTTTTTGGAGATCTAGTCAGATTTTTGCTATATGGGGTCAGGTTTATAGATCCGTAGGAAGCTTGAATCAGTTTTGGAGTCTCTGATTTTTGGAGGTGGATGACAGATTTTTGAAGGTTGGATGACAGATTTTTGGAGGTGTATTTCAGATTTATGGATGCACAAGTCATATTTTCTTAGGTATAAATCAGATTATTGGAGGTGTGGGTCAGTATTTTAAGAGGTTTGTCAGATTTTATGGAGGTATAGATCAGATTTTTGGAGGGACTTTGCTTTAGAATCTTAGAGGCTCTCACTTGTAGCATTAGATCAGATTTCGTAGATTTGTGTAAGTACAGCACGCTTATGGAGGTTTGGGTCAGATTTTGAAGGTCTGAGCCAGATTTTTAATGCCTTAGTCAAATTTTTGGAAGCATGTATCCGATTTTGGGAGGTATGAGTCAGATTTTGAAGGTCCGAGCCAGATTTTAGCATTTAAGTAAAACATATGTAGGTCTGAATCAAATATTAATATAAGTTAAAATTTGGAGGGCCTAATTCAGATTTTTGGAGGTAACAACCCGATTTAACTCCCCACTAGAAATTTGAATTCACTGATATAAAAAAAATCAGAAGTTCAGATTTTTTAAGGATTTTTTTAAATCTACAAATTTGAGAATAAAGAAAATTTTTGAAGTTAAAATTTGTGGAGTCATTTTTGGAATGGAGGGTTAGAATTTGGAGGTACATTACATGTATTCCATCCAGGTAATTAGATTTTGAGGTAATAATTGAAACGTTAGAATTATTATGTTTTTGACAAGTTAGAATTATTTGGAGTTTGAAGTCGATAGGATGTTAATAATTTCTTTAGTAATACCAAAACGATGATAATTTCCTTAGAATGATAATTAATGGGGTGATAATTTCTTTTGGTAATTATTTCAAAAGAATGATAATTAATGGAGTGATAATTTGCTTAGTAAAATACCAAAAGAATGATAATTTGTTAAGTAATGAATCAACAAGAATGATAAATTGTTTAGAATGATAGATAATTATTGGGATGATAATTTGTTTAATAAAATATCATGTTGATGTTGACTCTTGGGATGATATTGTATACATGATATCATGGTACACACACACACACACACACACACACACACACACACACACACACACACACACACACACACACACACACACACACTAGTTATAACGTCCAATAGTTACTTGTACATATAATACAAATTTCATCAATTAAAAATCTTGCCAATTTACCATAAAAGAAAAAAAACTATTAAAATAAAAACGATGAATTTTTTTCTTGTTTTATCTTAGGAATTAATTGATATATGAGATTTATGTTATAATTACCAACCATAATTAATTAGATTATATTTAAAGTAATTTTGAGTTTTTTTAAAGACATTAGAATGATATTTTAAAATTAATTGTAATTGTAATTTGAGGTTCTATAAGTAAGGGTAATTATTAAATTATTAAAAAAATTATATATAAGAAATATAATTATACCACTTTGATTATAATTAGAGACAATAATATAATCTTAAGTGAAATAAAATAATTGTAGTGCTGATGTCTTGAATTATATTAAGATTAGGATAGATAATTATCATAAATGATTATACTAATTAATTGGGCTCCATAATTAGGCTTTATAATTTGGCTTGGAAAATAAGCTATATTATTTGGTCATATAATTGGGAGAAAGAGTAAAATAGTTGATATACGAAATAATTAGACTTCATTGAGAGATTATTATACAGAGTGATTATTATGCTAGTCTGTTAAGTAACTGTGTTGTAATGTTTGGAGTAACTGATCTGTAGCCTGACTGTTAACTGTTAATTGACTGGGAACGATATGTTGTGTGAGTGGTTAACAAAGTACTGTCTTGTTCCGGTCTGTTGTATAATTGGTAACTGTTACTGACTGGATAAATATGTTAGACTGTGTAAAGTTGATATTAACTGGTGTAGAGGAGTTATGTGTGGTAGTGGTGGTGGTAGTTGTGGTAGTGTATGGTGGTAGTAGTGGTGGTTGTGGTGGTGTAAGATAAACACATGGGTGGTGATTGTGGTAGTAGTGGTGTGGGTGGTGGTGTAAGATAAACACATGGGTGGTAATTGTGGTAGTAGTGGTTGTGGTGGGTGGTAATTGTGGTTGTGGTAGTAATGGTTGTAGTGGTGTGATATGAAATAATATTTATGGAAATAAATATTTTCCTTATGTAGTCATAGTATACACACACACACACACACACACACACACACACACACACCCTCGTTTCTATAATCCTTAAAACAATGTCAACACAGCTTTAGATCAAGCTGTGTCAATAACATGTGAATCAAATCATTGTTATCTATCATACAACACTGAATTAGCTGTATTATGTAACCTTGTTGATGTATCGTAATTCTCCTTGCTGGAGTATATATGTTTATTTATATACCTGACACAGTTAATGAGTTCCCACGTACTTCTAAATGATTTAAAATTCCTTCAATATTTGTAAAAAGAATTTGTAGTCAAATTCGTACAATATAAACACACACACACACACACACACACACACACACACACACACACACACACACACAAAGATATAATCTACTTTCAAATTCTATAGAGTTTTATTAACAAACTAATATATTTTTATTCTATATTTTTTCATGAGTTTATCGTCTCCAGGCGGCGAATTTGTGTATATATATAAATATTTAACTAAGGGTGCTGACACTCTGGGTGTCTGACACTTGCTGACACTTTCACGTCATATGTTAGCTTATAATCCGAGGTTCCTGACACTTGCTGACACTTTCACGTCATATGTTAGCTTATAATCCGAGGTTCCTGACACTTGCTGACACTTGCTGACACTTCCATGCCATATGTTAACTTATAATCCGAGGTTCCTGACACTTGCTGACACTTGCTGACACTTTTACATCGTATGTTAACTTTTTCTCTCAGTTAACGAACAAAAGATTTTTATTCCCACTTTAAATATTTTAGACTGAGGAAGAAAGTCAGTCAGTCAGTCAGTCGATTAGTTAATCTACCAGTTAATCTACCAGTCATTCTGTCTACCAGTTAATCTACCAGTCATTCTGTCTACCAGTTAATCTACCAGTCATTCTGTCTACCAGTTAATCTACCAGTAATTCTGTCTACCAGTTAATCTACCAGTCATTCTGTCTACCAGTTAATCTACCAGTCATTCTGTCTACCAGTTAATCTACCAGTCATTCTGTCTACCAGTTAATCTACCAGTCATTCTGTCTACCAGTTAATCTACCAGTCATTCTGTTTACCAGTTAATCTACCAGTCATTCTGTCTACCAGTTACTCTACCAGTTACTCTACCAGTTACTCTACCACTACTACCATAACTTACAGTCACTGAACAGTTACAGTTATACCTGAACAACTTATGGGGTCTGTTATATTCTACAAAGTCTACTACATGATCAACATAACTGTGTATAGTTTTATAAAGCTCTTATACCATAGATTATATCCGGGTCACATAGGAGCAGGTTACTGTGCCAGGGTTACTGTAATACCACTGTAACCGAGGATGAAATACAGATAGATACAGTCATTGTATTTTTTTGTGTTACAGTGATGAGTGTATTGTAGGAAGGATGTAATTATTATTATTATTATTATTATTATTATTATTATTATTATTATTATTATTATTATTATTATTAAGACGTTGTAACCGGGACGAACTGTTGTAAAAATTACTGTTTTACGTGTTATCTAATATAAGAGTATAATAATATGTTGTCTATTACTGTTGAATTTATAAGTTTAAAGAGATATATATATATAGATGAAAATATATATAAATATGTATCAGAAGATATATATACCTTCAAGGCTTTATATTTTGTGTGTTTTGTCAAGTATGTTTGCATGTCGCCACGTATTTACACGACACACACCTGTACTGTATTAACACGACACACACCTGTACTGTATTAACACGACACACACCTGTACTGTATTAACACGACACACACCTGTACTGTATTAACACGACACACATCTGTACTGTATTAACACGACACACACCTGT